CCCTTCCTGCACAGCAAACAATTATTCTTGCGTGCAGCTCTGCAAGCAAGCCACCCTCATTTTCCGACCTGATGGCAGACAATCTAGCTTCTCCTCAGAAACTGGATTTCAGATAGATTGGGAGAGTGTCTCTCTTTGAGTTGAAGAAAGCTACGCCCTCCACCAGCCAGGATTCGCCGCCTGCCCATATTGCTTGTGCGCCCCTGTACCTCAGTTTTTCCGCACTGTGCCCTGAATGCTCTTCTCTCTCAGTCTAGTTGTAGAGATTCCTTTCAGCCAGCTTTCCCATAATTCTGGGTGATAGACGTTTTGTCTTTTAGTCGTAGTTTTGAAATTGTTGTGCACGGCAGCAGTTTAGGTGTGTTTACCTAGGCCACCATCTTGGCCTCCCCTAATTCCACTTCTTCAAAGTAGACTCACCCAGGCCATGGTATTTTGTGGAAGAGCCACACTCAAGGGGCCAATGAGCCACATGTGGCTTGTGAGCTGCAGTTGGTCGACCATGGTTCTAGGTGAACTGTACTTCTTTTCCTTTCTTATGGTCCTAATTGAATTCTCCCTGAGAATGGAGAATAATGGAGGTGATAATAGTGATCTCTGTTCTAGTACTGATTTTAAGTGAAATGATTTTGGTTGGCCAACACCCTTTCACAGTCCAGGAGCCTTGAGATCAATTGCTCCTCAGAGGGAAGCCCTGCCCATCTGCAGCACCAACGGTTGATGACCTGGGCCTCCCTCTTTGGGGTGATCATGGATCTACCCCCATTAATTGTCCCACTGGCCTGAGCCTCCCTCTGTGGACCTCGTGGGGCAATGGCGGGCCCCCCGACCTGTCATCACAGCCACCTTGGCTGGTCTGGTGCCAGTGCATGTCATAGTGTGGTCGTCCAGATGGTCATTCTGCTGTTTGGTCGATTTTCTTTTTTTCTTTTTTTTAAAAAAATCAATCTTTATTGTTCATATTATTACAAAGGTTCCTCATTTCTTCCCCCCTCCACCAGGTTCCCACCTCACTCTCCACCCCGTCCCCTCCCCTCCCCCATTGTCCTCATCCATAGGTGCACAGTTTATGTTCAGTCTCTTCCTCCCTCCCTTTCCCCAATAGTAAATCCCTTTTCAGATAGTAAATCAGTTACTTAGCATTTTCTCATATCAATAATACCTCTACATGCCCAAAGATACACTTCACACAAAAGACATTTCCAAATAGGTCAACCAACCTCATCCAGGCCCTGTACAAGGCACTCACAGATCAACACCCCAGCGCTATACTAACTCAACATATCCAGATCTATGCCTTCATCACTTGATTCAGCAGACCCTCAAGTTCCCGCAAAAGTTTCCAGCCATGTCTGAGAGGCAGCCTTGGGGCGGGGGCAGGCAAGGAGCGAGCTTTTCCGGGCCTGGCTGCTCCTGGCCTGGCCTCTGTTGCTCTGGTCCGTTCCACAACCAGCTGCTCCGGGTCTGGCCACTGCCGCTCCCAACCTGGTTGCTCCGGGCTTGGCTGCTGCTGCTCGGGGCCTGGCCGCTCCCAGCCTGGCAGCTGCTGCTCCGGGCCTTGCCGCACCTGACCCAGCTGCTCCGGGCCTGGCAGCTCCCAGCCGGCAGCTGCTGCTCTGGGCCTGGCCGCTCCCAGCCTGGCAGCCGCTGCTCTGGGCCTGGCCGCACCCAACCTGGCTGCTCTGGGCCCAGCTGCTCCGGGCCCGGCCGCTCCAGGCCAGGTCACCCCCAGCCTGGCAGCTGCTGCTCCAGGCCTGGCCGCTCCCAGCCTGGCAGCTGCTGCTCTGGGCCTGGCTGCACCCGACCCGGCTGCTCTGGGCCTGGCCACTCCCAGCCTGGCAGCTGCTGCTCCGGGCCTGGCCGTACCCAACCCGTCTGCTCCGGGCCTGGCCGCTCCCAGCCTGGCAACCGCTGCTCTGGGCCTGGCTGCACCCAACCTGGCTGCTCTGGGCCCAGCTGCTCCGGGCCCGGCTGCTCCAGGCCAGGTCACTCCCAACCTGGCAGCTGCTGCTCCAGGCCTGGCCGCACCCCATCCGGCTGCTCCGGGCCCGGCCGCTCCGAGCCTGGCCACTCCCAGCCTGGATGCTCCAGGCTTGGCTACTGCTGTTCTGGGTCTGGCTGCTCCCAACCCGGCTGCTCTGGGCCCAGCTTCTCCGGGCCCAGCCACTCCGGGTCTGGGTGTTCCTGGACTGGCCACTCTGGGCTTGGCTGCCTCCACCTCAGGCCTGGCTGCCACTGCCCCAGGTCTGGCTGCTCCAGGCCTGGCTGTTGCTGCTCTGGTTCTGGCTGCAGCTGTTCTGGGGCCTGGCTATTGTTGCTCCAGGCCCGGCTGCCACTGCCTTGTGCCTGGCCACTCTAGGCCTGGCCGCCGCCGTTCCAACATTCTGTCCTTTTTTATTTTTATTTTTTATTTATTTTAAAAACACATTTATGTTGCAATGTTGGCTGCTGAGTTGAGTTCTGACTTAGTCTTTGATTTTTCAAGATCTTCTTTGTGTTCTTTCTTAAGTAATTTTACTATCTTTTGCTCTCCCTTGACTTCTTCACATTGAGAACTTCTTCGGTTTCTTCCTCCTTGTCCTGGAAGCTCAGCAGGTTGGCCTGTGGCACCCTTGTTCTCCGGGGGCTCCTGCACTGCTTCAGCCTGCTGCCGGGGTCGGCACCGCCGCCCAGGAAGCAGCCCCCGGCCTCGGCTCCATTGCCCACACTCAGTGGTCGAAGGCTCGGGGGCACCCCTCCCCGGGGGCCCCGTCACCCAGTTCCTTGCTGGCGCCTGGCTGGCTGGTGTCCAGCAGGGGCTCCTGTTCCTCGTCACGTTCCTCCAGTCTGGAGCTTTTTTTCTCCTTCCCGCTAGGGGAGTCTAGCATCAGAGTCAACAGACTGTCCTCTGCGCACAATGTGCGTGACTCTGGGGGCTCCGCTTTTCGCCGCTCCCCTGGAATCCCGCCACACAGCCCCGTCTCCCCCTGCCTGAGCTGACCCGGGCTCCTGTTTCCTTCCCTCCAGTGCAATCCTGTATCAGAGTCAACATTCCTTCTCTTGCGAGCAATGTGCATGACTCTGGGGGCTCGGCCTTTCGCCGCTCTCCCAGGACTCCACCTCACAGCCCAGTCTCCCTCTGCTTGAGCTTGGGTCCCCAGGGATTGGCCCAGAACTGGAGTTCAGGGGCGGTCAGGATTGGGGCTCAGCACCGCCGGAGGCTTTGTTTCTTCCTGCTAGGGCAATCCAGCATCAGAGTCAACATTCAGTCCTCTGCACGCAATGTGCATGCGACTCCGGGGCCCTGCTTTTTGCCACTCCCCTGGGATTACGTCTCACAGCCCCGTCTCCCCTTGCCGGAGCCTGGGTCCCCAGGGTCTGACCCATAACTGGGGCTCAGCGCTGCTGGTTCGGGGTTTCAGGCCAGGCTGGGGGTTTTATTTTCTTCCTGCTAGGGAACGCCAGGCAGGCCCCCAGCCTTCTCCTCCTCTCCCGCTGCGACCTCTCCGAGCGTGCGCGCATGCGGGCGCGCAGCATGTCTCCGTACCTTGGGCTTTTTTCAGCTCCTCTGATTTTTCTTCTGGTTTTCTCTTTCCTTCTTGTTGTAGAATTTTCAGTCAGTCGACTACCTGTAGCTCTGGGCAATGGCCACTCTACATTTTAGTTGTATTCCATTGAAATTATTGTGTGCTGCTGCAGTTAGGTGTCTACCTGAGCAGCCATCTTGGATCCTCCTCCTGATTTTCATATTATGCTTTTATTATTATAGAAAATTGAATTAAAATGCTAAGATGAAAAAATGAATAAAATTGCGGAGCGTTCTTGGCATTGGGAATAATTAAGTAACATTTTGTTACCAAACATGGAATACTAAGTGGTTTTGGATGCCAAATCCAGGAAAAATATGGGCTGTTAGGAAAAGTCTAGGGAAAGTAGACTCTGAATAGGATGTGAAGGTGCGTGGTCCTGCTAAATGCACTGGATAAAGAAATAGTGCACAAAAAGTCACTTTGCTTCCCTGCTGTAAACTAAGGGAGTGGATTTTAGGCCCTTTGAATATGGTAGGGGACATGATTTTAAGAATATGAGTAAGTCATTCACTCCAAAGAAAAAGTTTGTATGCTTCCCTGGCAAGAGACTGGTTTGTAATAATCATTCAGGGAAATGCATGTTTGAAGAACACAGTTCTGTTCTGAGCTTGTACCCAGTCTAGTGAAGACAGTGATCAAAGCATAATTGAGAGGGGTCATTTTGAACCCAAGACCCTGGAAGTAGACAAACAGCATAATTTTGTGGTACTTTTCCATTTATTTTGTGCATATTGTTCTAAAAAGGGTGGTGAAAGAAAACATAGAACCTGGATCCCATGTAGAGGCTCCAGTGTATTAAAGGGACTGGGAAAATGACATTTCATGTCTCTTTTGTTTGAGACTCTTTGGGGAAGGAAGCAAAAAGATTTTAGTCTGCTCTAGGAGCATCGTTTTTATTCCATTGTAGGTGCCTGAATAGGAGAAGTAGAGGTGGAGGGAAAGTTGCAAAGGAACAGAATCAGGAATTTTTAAGTTGGCCACCAAACATGAAGTCTAGCTCCTGAGAAAGAAGAATTTGTTGAGGTAGTTCATTTCTCCAATAAATCTTTCCACTCACCCCTGAGAGCATCCTCTGGACGTTTGCAAGTAGTGTCAGTGCCTCAGGCCAGGTTTTTGTATTTTTACATGTTGTAAACCAAAAGAAGAATATTTTGTGACACCTGAAGTTTACATTTCACCAACTATGAATAAAGTTTTATTAGACCACATTCATACTCATTCATTTTTTATATTGACTGTTTTTTAAAAAATATATATTTTTTATTGATTTCAGAGAGGAAGGGAGAGTGAGAGATAGAAACATCAATAATGAGAGAGAATCATTGATCAGCTGCTTCCAACATGCTCCTTACTGGGGATCAAGCTTGCAACCTGGGCATATGCCTTTGATCAGAATTGAACCAGGGACCCTTCAATCTGTAGGCTGACTGGCTAGGGCAGATATTGGCTGATTTTTGCTACAATAGAAGATGAGTAGTGTGACAGAGACTGTGTGGCCTGCCTGTGGGATACTGAAGTAGAGAATTTATTTGGGAGAGCTGAAGGTCTCCAGGTGGGGGTGCCATACTGTTCTCTATGTTGCTGGGCTTTAAGTATTCGTAGGCAAGGTCAAGCTGCTCATTCCGGGCTGTCATTTCCTTTTCCCAGTTTTCCAGGTCTGCTTGGAATTGGTCCAGTACAGCTTTGGTCTTGGAGCCTGAGAAATACTTTTCTTTGTGATGCCCCAGAGGAACCTAAGAAGGAACAAAAGATCAACCAGTTTCTAGTCTGAAGGCTGAAGCACCTTGAGCCTAGCCCCTTACTCTGATGTTTCCCTTCCATCATCATTTCTCTTTCCCTGGAGGCCTCACTTACCATGTCTGGCTGGCGTCGACCCAGATGCCATGTGATGGTCATTTGAAAACAGGCCTGTTGGACATCAGGGAGTGAGCCCATCACTGTGGCCATTGTCACATCTTCCTTGGTGGTGGGTGGGGGCATTCGCATTGTGCATGGGGCATTGGGGACCCAGGCATACCAGTCCAGCTGGGGAAAGAAAGTACAACCTTAGGATCCTGGCACTTAGGGTTTAAACCCCTATCTTTCCCTTGGGTATCCACTTGCTTTCAGGGCCCTGGGCTTTCATGTGTCTATACCTGGCCCTTGTTGATGGCCCCATGCTGGGCACTGCACGTGAACACACACATGGTAAGGAAATGGCAGAGTTGATTCCGAGACTGGAAGGAGACAGGGAAACCTGGGGAGGAAAGAAATAGGATTCAGAGGCTATAGCATGAGAGGAGAGAAATAAAGGTTGATGTCTTGGGATGTCTGCCTATTGGAATTGATGGGTGTTGGTTCATTTATTCAAATATATTTACATCAGACATGATTTCCAGTTCAAGCTCAAGCAATCTAATTTGGATACCTTAGGCCAATTAAATTCTCTGACCTTAATTTCTTCACCTGTAAAGTGTAGATGATACTTACCTTATAAATGAGATACTGTATAAAAATGGATACAAGTGTTTAGTAAATAATAATTCTTGTATTTATGGAAGGGTTGGAGGCTGAAAATATTGACTAATTGAATATCTTCTGCCTTAAAAAATGGTTAAGAATTTAGGGTTGCTTCCCCTATTTCCAGATAGGGAATTATAAGTGCCTGAATTATAAGGTGAGGAATAAGAGAAGTCATGGATTCCTAGTGTCACAGCCAAGAGAGGCTTTCCAAAAGTTGTCCCAAGCCACCTAATAATTCTATCAGTCAAGTGAAACAAGTACAATATAATCACTCTCTTTTTATAGATAAAATGGACACAGTTGGGAAAAGGCAGAGGCTGACCTTGAACTTGGGATTCTGACTGATAATTGCTGATAGTTTTTAATCTTAGCACATTTCCTCCACAAGTCTGTTGGGAAAATTGGGTAAAAGTCAGGTATGAGAACTAGGGGGAGAGAATGAGAGGCAGTTAGATGGAGGTTAAAGTTAACATGTGAAAGTTGTTATTGATACTAGTTGAGGAAAAGATGGCCAGGCAGAGGAAGTAGAGACTTTTGGGGGCAAGTGGAGCCTAAGGAACAGTATGGAGATGTCTTAGAGAGTTGGTCCTGGGAGGGTGGGGATGGTGCAGCCTCAGGTTCCGCAGGGAGAGGCCCCTCCAGAGCGCAGGTGTTGGTTTATTGCTGACTGCACCTCCAGGGTATGGCCACGATGCCCCCTCCCCCCAATAAATGTCAGTAGGTGTCCTACAGAGGCAGATGCTGGTGTGAAGTGTGAGGAGCAGGGACTGAAGGACGATTTGAAGCGGTCCAGGTTGGTCCACGCGTGCTGGAGAGAGGAGGATGAACTAGGAGAACCCAAGAAAGGCAATTTCTTCCCCAGCAGTTAAGTGTGATTAGGGTATGCTACAGCTAATGACTAGATCTTAAGCCAGTGGCTAGATCCTAGCAGGGGTGAGGTGGCCGAGAGAGGACAGATTGGCAAAGGAATATGAGTCCCAAGGGACAGGGAACTGAGTTTAGATTTGAACCAAAAGGTATAATAGTGAGCTTGCACTTAGAATGACCTTGCATGCCTGGATAGTAGCAGATAGGATAAGAGAGGAAAACCAGCATGGGTCATGATGGAAAAATCTTCCCATTCATATCCTCAGGCAGGAAAATAGACACCATGGGAGAGTTGACTCTAGTAGGGCCTGGGCAGATCCCTTCCCCACTGGCTGTTCTGGACCCACTGGGCCTAATGCTGTGGCAGGTTGGAGGCATATGTGACTAGGCAAAGGGGAGGGACATAAAAGTTATGGTCAGGGTCTCTGAGGGGATTAATCCTTGGGCTTCTAGGATGGTCCTAACTCCTAGGAGGTGGGAATGAGATGCTTCATGTTTGGAGGGAGAGAGGGTAATGAGAGGTTGGGATCATGTCCCCAGAAGGACATGGCTGATAAGAGGCTCCAAGCAGAGTGTCTGAGGAGCTTCCTTCTCTGGGGAGGGATCTCACCTCAGTCCTGGGCCTGGCACAGCCCCAGCTCAGTGATCTCCCGACACCAGGCCTGCAGCTCAGGGTCCCCTCTCACGATGTCATCCCTGTGGTAGAAGAGGTGGACGATCCCCTCCACGTACCTGCCCAGAGGAGAAGGGAGCTGAGCTCCTTGAGAGTACAAGGCTCTAGCCTCTGACCATTAATTCTTTTCTGTGGCCTCTGTCCAACACACTCTTACTGTGTCTGAGTGTAGATCCTTCAAGACTTGTCTTTTGGGACATTCCCCAGCTCTTTCTACACATTAGTGTAGAAAAGAATGAAAATGTGGGTCATTACTTCTAGAAATTATATATATATAATTGGTATAGTCATTCTTCCTGACAAAAACCCTGACTTGTCCAGATCTCTTTCCTCATTCACGGCTATCCCAGCTGATGCTTTCTACCCCCATCCTAGTCTATTCCTATCAAACCGTACTCACTCTCTCCTCATTCTTCCTCTTCTCTCCCAGGAATAAGTCTTCTGCTCCTCATGTCTGACTCTTCTTTTTTCATGTTTCCTGTGCCCCATGCTGACCTAACGCAAGAGCCCCATTCTCATTGTTGCCAATGGTCCTTCCTTTCTCAGCTCCCACTCTCACCCACCGAGCAATGATGTCCCAGAGCCGTAAAGCATCATGGGCATAGAGAGCACTTGGGATTCCCAGCAGGCCCCGGTCAGCCAGATCGTCAGGAGGACAGAGGGAGCGGTAGGTCAACTTAGCCATGGCCTGATGCATCAACTGCACATGGCCCCCTCTGCCTGTGCTCATAGCCTGGAACAAAGAGAGGATAGGCCTTGAGGAAGAAGATAGAGCATAGTGTACAGGAGGTTCATATGTGAGGTTCTCACATTTAATGACATCAGTATAAAGGGACAGGCCCCTGGGTTTAAGGGTCAGGGCATTTACACAGATTGGTCTGGGATTTAAAAACAAATGTTTTTTTTTATTGATTTTAAAGAGAGAAAAGGGGCCCTAACTGGTTTGGCTCAGTGGATAGAGCGTCTGCCTATGGACTGAAGTGTCCCAGGTTCAATTCCGGTCAAGGGCATGTACCTTGGTTGCAGGCACATCCCCAGTAGGGAGTGTGCAGGAGGCAGCTGATTGATGTTTCTCTCTCATTGATATTTCTAACTCTCTACTTCTCGCCCTTCCTCTTTTTAAAAAATCAATAAAATATATTTTAAAAAATAAAGAGAGAAAAAGGGAGAGGGAGAGAGATACATCTATCAGCTGCCTCCTGCATGCCCCCTACTCTTGATTGAGCCTACAATCTGTGCATGTGCCCTGACCAGAAATCAATTAGTCACCTCCCGGTCCATGGGACAATGCTCAACCAAATGAGCCACACCAGCCAGGTCAGTCTGAGATCTTAAAAGTGATAGGAGATCATGCAGAGCTGGATGATTGGGTAGCCCCATATTCCATTACCTCCTTACCTTATCAAACACACCTCCATGTGAGATGAGTTGGCCTCGTCCCCGTGTGTTGATCTCCATGGTGTAGCGGGTGTGTGGGATCAGGAGCTGGAGGGAGAAGGGTGGAGGGATGGTTTATGGGGGACATGCTTGGGACCGCCTTCTTTTTTAAAAAAATATATATTTTATGACTTTTTACAGAGAGGAAGAGAGAGAGATAGAGAGTTAGAAACATCAATGAGAGAGAATCATTGATCAGCTGCTTCTTGCACACCCCTGCTGGGAATGTGCCTGCAACCAAGGTACATGCCCTTGACCGGAATTGAACCTGGGACCTTTCAGTCCCCAGGCTCTATCCACTGAGTCAAACCGGTTTTGGCTGCTAGGGTCCTTCTTTATCAGGGAGTGGCGCGCAGCATAGTGGCCTCCTGTCCATGATGCTTTCCTTTTTGCTAGTGTCTTTGCAGGCTGGTCCCCAATACTTCTCTGGTCACTCATTCTCATGCTCTTTATTCCCCTGTGAGTCAGGCTCTAGAGCTAGACTGACCTGGGTTTCAATCTACACTTTGATCCCTGTCCAAGGTAATGGACTCTCTAATAATAATCTGTCTCATTCCCTACCTATGACTTCATCTGCCAACAGGGGGTGATAATAGGGTCTCTTATTTCAGGAGGCAGTGGTGATGCTTAGGTGAGTGATGTATGAAGAGGGTTTAGTACACACAGAAGTCCTCAAGTCTCAGCTGTATCATTTGTTTTCATAATTTCTACCTTGAGTGTTTGATTTTAAAGAATCAGCACAGTCCTTTTGATTTTCTTTTGTTCTATCATTTGTATCCTCATAGTTTATAATTACCCCTCTACTCATTATCAAAGCCACACCCTTATCCGCTGGCCGCTTCACTGTTGGCTTTTAGGGGGTGAACATCTCTCCTCAGAATGAGAGGGACCATTCTGAGCTACTTATTTAAGCAGCAGAGGGGCTGTCGTCAAATCTGCCCAACCCCCAGTTAGGCAGTTAGGTCCCGTCTATCTTTAACAGCTTTTAAAAATTCTTAGTTTTTAATTGACTTCAGAGAGGAAGGGAGAGGAAGAGAGATAGACATCAATAAAGAGAGAGAACCATTGATTGGCTGCCTCCTGCATGCCCCTTACTGGGATTGAGCCTGCAACCTGGGCACATGCCCTTGGCCAAAATCCAACCTGGGACCCTTTAGTCCACAGGTGGATGCTTTATCCACTGAGCCAAACCAGCTAGGGCTTTAATAGCTTTTTAAAAAATAGCTTTCCTTAGGTAAGGCCCCCTGATCCTCACATACAATTCTTTTTTTTTTAAATTAATTAATTTATTTTTTTACATATTTTAATGATTTTTTTTGCCCCCCTCCCTCCGTCCCACATATCCCCTCCCTCCCCAGAGTTTTATGTCCATTGGTTGTACTTATATGCATGTATACAAGTCCTTCGGTTGATCTATTATCTCCCCCAGATCCTCCTCCTCTCCCAGCTGTAATTTGACAATCTGCTTGTTGCTTTACTGTCTCTATATCTATCTTTTGGTTCATCAGTTTATAATGATCTTTATTATCTACAAATGATTGGGGTCATGTGGTGTTTTCCTTTCATTGATTGGCTTATTTCACTCAGCATGATGTTCTCCAATTCCATCCAGGTTGCTGCAAATGATGAAAATTCCTTCTTTTTTATGGCAGCATAGTATTTCATTGTGTAGATGTACCATAGTTTTTGGATCCAATCATCTGCTGACGGGCACCTAGGCTGTTTCCAAATTCTGGCTATTGTAGATTGTGCTGCTATGAACATAGGGGTGCATATATCCTTTCTGATTGGTGTTTCTAGTTTTTTGGGATATATTCCTAGGAGTGGGATTACTGGGTCAAATGGGAGTTCCATTTTCAGTTTTTTGAGGAAACTCCACACTGTTCTCCACAGTGGTTGCACCAGTCTGCATTCCCACCAGCAGTGCACGAGGGTTCCTTTTTCTCCGCAACCTCGCCAACACTTGTCGTTTGTTGATTTGTTGATGTTGGCCGTTCTGACAGGTGTGAGATGGTACCGCATTGTTGTTTTGATTTGCATCTCTCGTATAATTAGTGACTTTGAGCATGTTTTCATGTGCCTCTTGGCCTTCCTTCTGTCTTCTTTTGAAAAGATTCTATTTAGGTCTGTTGCCTATTTTTTTTTATTGGATCATTTATCTTCCTTTTATTAAGTTGTATAAACTGCCTGTAGATGTTGGAGATTAAACCTTTATCAGTGATAACGTTTGCAAATATGTTCTCCCATACAGTGGGCTTACTTGTTGTATTGTTGATGGTTTCTTTTGCTGTGCAAAAGCTTTTTATTTTGATGTAGTCCCATTTGTTTATTTTCTCTTTAGCTTCCATTGCCCTAGGGGCAGTATCAGTGAAGAAGTTCTTTTGGCATATGTCTGAGATTTTGCTGCCTGTGGATGCCTCTAGTATTTTTACGGTTTCCCTTTTATGTTTAAGTCCTGTATCCATTTTGAGTTTATTTTTGTGTATGGTGTAAGTTGGTGATCTATGGTAGTTTCATTTTTTTGCATGTATCTGTCCAATTTTGCCAACACCATTTATTGAAGAGACTGTCTTGACTCCATCCTTTGTCATCCTGCCATACTCACCGTTGCTTTGAGTGGGGACTCAGGCGGGGGTGGGGAGTGAGTGGGGCTTGGGGACCCAGGTGCTACTCAGGGCCCAGAGGTCAGCTGGGACCTGCCCTTCCATGCCAGATGCTGGTGCTTTGATCACTGGCCAGGCCTAGGGACTGCACCTATGCACGAATTTCATGCACCAGGCCTCTAGGAAGCCAGAAGCCCAAGGAAAGCGAAAGTACCTCTAAAGAACAGATTGGATCAATATGTCAGTAAAAGGCAGGCTATGTTAAGTATAAAGCTGTGGTGATTATGTTAGTGTGGTATAAATACTGGAAAGCTAAGAACTATTTTATTTATATTGATAGATGGCAACTTAATCTATGTCAACATTATAGATGATAAGGGAGGATGGGCTTTTCAATGAACAGTGCTGTGATAACTGATATCCAGATTAGAAAAAAGGAATGGAATTAACTTATATCTCTCACTGTATTGAAAATTAGGTACACCATTAAAAATACCTTTAAATCACTTATATCAATGATAAGGTAATACCATTATATAATGATTTATTGACAAATAGAGAAGGCAAAATATCCAGAGGAAAGAAAACATTACATGAGTAGCTATTTGATTTCTCTAAGGGAGTTGGTTTCAAGTTAAAGATCATTCTCTTAAGGGAACTGGAAGTAAGGACAATGCCTCATGCAGGTGAGGTATTTAGGTAGGGAACTCAAGAGGAGAAGATACAACCATAGCAACTCAGACCCATGAAAACAGTAAATATCAGGGGGAAATGTTAAGCATGGTGGGGGCCTCAAGTATATGAATATATGAGCCCATTTGGGCTCAGATAGTGATACTGCTCTCTACAAGGCTGGGCTTCAGGTATTCATAGGGAAGGTCTAGCTGCTCATTCTGGGCCTCGATTTCCCTTTCCAAGTTGTCCAGATCAGCCTGAAACTGCCTTAAAACAGCCTTGGGCTCAGGACCTGAGAAATACTCTTCTTTGTGATGCCCCAGTGGTACCTGAAGCAGAAAGAAAGGACCAATCATCTTCTAGTTCTAAGACAAAGGAACCCAAACTCCAGTACCTCACCCTAATGTCTCCTTGTTAGTCATCAATCCCATCAGAATTCCAGAGGTTTCTTCTCACCATGTCTAGCAAAGACCGGCTAACGAGCCAGGTGGCTAACATTTGAAGACTGGTCTGCCAGACATTAGGTAGTGAGCCCATCACTGTGTCCATTGTGACATCCTTTTTGGTGGTGGTTGGGGCCATCCGCATTGAGCTTGGGGCATTAGGGACCCAGGCATACCAGTCGAACTGGAAGAAGAAGAATCTGGAGTCACTCAGAAACTCTGATTCAGGAACTTAGACCTCAGCTCTGTTCCTCAAGTATACCCAAGCTTTCTCTCAGAGACCCAGACCTGGCCCATGTTGACTGCTGCATGCTGGGCAGAGCATGTGAAGATGCACATGGTAAAGAAATGACAGAGCTGAGCCCGAGACTGGAAGGACACAGGGAAACCTAGAGAAAAGAGCAAAGCTTAGACACTGCATTTCCAAAAGAGTGAGGAAATAAATGCTGATATCTTGTCATGTCCATATATTAGAATTAGTGAGTGTTCATTCATTTATTCATTTATTCAAAAAGTCATGTACTACTATGTACCAGACACTATAAAGGCACTGGGAATATGTTCATAGACAAAACAGACTGTAGTGGTGAAGAATAATAATAAACAGAATAACTAAGTAAAATTATACACAGCGTCTGAGATAGTGATAAGAATATAAGTAAGGCAAGGAAAGGAGATATGCGATGTAAAGGGGTGATAGCTAATAATTTAGTCAAGAGACCAGTCCTTGCTTTGCTGGTGATTAACTCATTACCTTGGACTACCTACTTAGCTTCTCTGAGCTTCTGTTTATTTTACTATGAAAATAGAGATGATAATACTTACCTTATAAAGGGACGGTTCATGCAAAGCCCCTCAGTCCATTGTAGGTATGTTTGTTTATAAGGTAGAGAGTGGGCAGGGCCGAGAAGCTGGTTGGTCAACTATCCCGTGTTCAAGTGTTAAAAGCAACAGGAGAGAGGTAGACACCCAAAATAAAATGGTACAGGAGAGTGACAGGCTCTATATAAAGGAGAATATCCATGTGGCTACTAAACCTAAGACAGGTTCCTCGATTCTACCAGTCACTAGGAGAATACAACCTAAACTCATAATGCGAAAACATAACATTCACAATATGACCAAAGCATTTTTTCAAATATTTGAGAAGATACTGACTATACCTCATACTCTGTGGAAGATGAGTAAATGTATACAAGCACACTGGAAAACTGTCAGAAACCACTAAAGCAGAACATACACATATCCTATGACCATCAATTTCACTTCTAGATACACACCCAACAGAACTGTACACATGACATTGTTCACAGCAGCAATGACATTAATAGCCTCGAAATGGAAACAAACCAAATGCCCATCAATGGGAGAAAGGAAAAAAAATAAAGTCTACCATATTCACAAAATAGAATAATATATAATGAGAACAATGAACTACATGCTACATTTCACCGCAGCATGGGTAAATTTCAAACAATTTGGAGACATTAGTGAGTGCATGTTTTTGTGTAAAGTTCAAACAGGTAAAACTAACCTGTGCAGTATGAAGTGGTTACCTTTGGATGGGCAAAGACTGGACTAGCACAAGGGGCTTTCTGGGGAGCTAGTAATGTGTTTTTTTTGTTTTGTTTGTTTGTTTTTTTTAATTTGTGCTAATTATACAGGTATGTCACTTTACTGAAAGTTCAAGTTGTAGCCTATGATTTATAACATTAACTTTTTTTTAGTGTATATTATTTTAATAAAATTTCCAACCTCCCCCAACGTGGTTAAGAATACGAGGTTGCTCTCCTAATTTCTGGAAAGCAGTTCCAGGTATCTGGGCTATGATGCAGAAAAAAAGCAGTCATGGACTCATTTTGGAACTGGAACACCATCAAATCCACTCAATTTACAGTTGAGATGCTGCTCAGGGTGTTTAAGGACCTGCTCACATATTACACTTGCTGACCGTATTCGGGAGGTAATTTTTCGGAGTGGGGCATAGGATCACAATAATTTTATATTGATTGTTTTACACGTTTCAACTTTGTCACATTATTTCAATTGGGAGAAGAAATACATTCATTTCAGTGAAAGGATATTAAAAGCCAATGAGATTAAATAGCTTTCTCAAGCAGAGGTCTGGGAAGAGAAAATCTCAACACACTGCCTTTAGTGAGGGTGATGAGCGAAGGATGGCACAAAGACAACCATGAAAGTTGCCGGAGACAAAATGTGGGTGCAAGAGGTTAAAGCTCACATTCGAATAAGTTTTACAAGTGCTCTAATGTGGATATTTCACGGGCAGAAGCACGAAAGAGAGAATGAGAAGGGTGTTTTGGATCAGGTGGAGCCTGATGGCCAGAAATGAGACATACTACAGAGATTTTGGTCGTGAAGGGCTTTGGAGGTGTTCTTGGATGAATGGGGAAGGTACAGCCCCAGATAGGACTCCAATCCATGGTAGGCGTTTGGTTTATGATGTGTGCATCCTGTGGGCCTGGTTATAAGTAACAGATCTTAGCTGTTGGCGAAAGTTATTGCACAGAGGGAGTGTAAGGCATTTAAAGGAGCTAAAGGATGATTCAAAAAACAGTCCCTTCTGGCCTATGTGTATGAGAGAGAGGAATATGAATCTAGGAAGAGCTCAAGAAAGGCTATTTCTTAGTTATCAATTTAAAATGGGGTAGGGGAACTACAGGTGGTTAGTTCACTGGTGAGGAGTACACTTTTTTTTTTTTTTTTTTTTTTTTTTTTTTTTAAGAAACTTCAGTCTCAAGGATCATGACACTGAGTTTGGGTTCAAGTCAAATATATACAGTACTGAGACTACATCTAAAAATGGCCCTGCACTTGGCAGGCGTGTAGGATGTCTGGATCCTGTGTGAGTGCTGGACAGTATTAAGAAGGAAAAAAGGGAGGGAAAGCTAGGGTAGGATTTCATGGGCCCCCCATTTCTATCCTTAATAAAGAAAACAGACAATAATTAGAAGAGCCTGGCAGGGCCTGGGCAGATCCCTTACTGACTATGGCTCTGGCCTTATTAGTCCCTATGGCAGGTTAGGGCCTCTTTGAAAAGGAGGGGGAGGCCAATTCTTGGGTTTCTAGAATTGTCCTGAGACTTAGGAAGTAGGAATGGGAATAAGATGCTCCATGTGTGGTGGGACATGGCTGATGAAGGGTTGGGGTCATGGTCCCAGAAGGGCAAGACTGAAAAGGGCCTCTGGTCACAGGGTCTAGGAGCTCCCTTCTCTGGGGAGGGATCTTACCTCGGTCCTGGGCCTGGCACAGCCCCACCTCAGTGATCTCCTGACACCAGGCCTGCAGCTCAGGGTCCCCTCTCACGACATCATCCCCGTGGTAGAAGAGGTGGATGATCCCCTCCCCTACCTGCCTAGAGGAGAAGGGAGCTGAGCTCCTGGAGAGTAGAAAGCTCTAGTCTCTTGCTGCTACTCCTTTTCTGTGTTGTCTATCCAGCTGATTCTCACTGTACCTGAGGACAGATCTGATAAGACTTTCCTTTTGGGGCACCCTGAAGGTCTTTCTACAGGCTAGTTTAGAAAGGAAATGTGGGACGTTAGTTTTAAGAATTCTGCCTGGCCAATGTGCCTCAGTGGTTGAGTGTGGACCTATGAACCAGGAGGTGACAGTTCAATTCCCAGTTGGGGCACATGTCTGGGTTGCTGGCTAGATCCTTAACACACATGTGTCAAACACAAGGCCCGCGGGCCAAATCCGTCCCGCCAGGCCTTGCAATGTCTCCCGCACCGCGCTGTCATCACTGCACTCCGCTGAGTTTCCATCACAATGACAGTTTATGATTGTTCAGTAAACCATTCGGCCCGCGATTTAGGCTGGATTTTAGATTTTGGCCCCTTCTCTGATTGAGTTCGACACCCCTACCTTAACAGGTGGCAGCTAATCAATGATTCTCATTGATGATTCTATAACTTTCTCCCTCTCCCTCTCTGAAATCAATATAAATAAATATATAATAGCATTATGGTTCATAGTCACTCTTCATAACAAAATGGTCTACCCTCTTTAACTTTAGTATAGGTGTCTGATTCCCCCAGATCCCTTAGGTTTACTCACCCATACAACTCTGTTCACTTATATTGCCTATTTCAGCCTTGACATCCTCAGATCCTACTTTCTATTCCTCATCTCTTCTCAATAGACTCCTTTGCTTCTCCTTTCTGGACTTTCTTCTTTCATATTTCTTTGGCCTCATGGTGACCTCAGGTTAAAGCCCCATTCTCACTGTTCCCAATGTCCTTTTATTTCTCCACCTCTCACCCACCGGGCAGTGATCTCCCAGAGCTGAAAAGCATCATGGGCATAGAGGGCACTTGGGATTCCCAGCAGGCCCCAGTCAGCCAGATCGTCAGGAAGACAGAGGGAGCAGTAGGTCAGCTTAGCCATGGCCTGACGGAGCACCTATATATGGCCCCCTCCACCTGTGCTCCATGCCTGTGACAACAGAAATGAGAGGACTTGAGGGGACAAACAGAACCAGAAAACATGGCATAGTATGTAAAGTGGTCAGTTGTGGCCTTTTCAGATTCAATGACATTGGTTTAAAGGGGCAAGGCTCCTGGGTTAAAGGGTCAGGACAGTCACACAGCGGGGCCTGGAATGTTGAAAGTGACAGGAGGTCATGCAGACTTGGGTGATTGGGTGGCCCCACAATCCTCCTCCTGACCTTATCAAATAAGCCTCCTTCTGAGACGAGTTGGTTCCGTGCCCTGGTGTTGATGTCCAGGGTGTAGCGGGTGTGTGGGATCAGGAGCTGGAGGGAGAAGGGTGGAGGGGTGCTTTATGGAGGACATGCTTGGATCCTTATTAGTGAGCAGCACTCAGCATGTGGCTTTCTCTCCCTCTTTTCTTGATGCTTTCCTACCTGCTGGTGCCTTTGCCAGGTAGTCTCCTCCCTCTCTGATCTCTAGTCTCATATTCTCCTCTTCCTCTGTGAGTTGAGCTTTGGAGTCTGACTGACCTGGACTTTAATATACACTTCACCACTTAATTTGATACTTGACCAAGATAATAAACCCTCTAAACACCCATCTCTTTTTTTATTTACAGAGGATGACAATAGAGTCGCATCGCAGGCGCTGTGGTGATGCTTATGTGTATAACATATGAGAGTGTTCAGTACATTGCCTAGCACACAAATGTCCTTAAATAGTAGTTATTATTATCCCCACTTAGAGTATAGGTGTCATTTGAGAATCAGTCCTTTATCTTTGGATTTTAAAAAAAGATTTTTCTATCATACACATCCTTACAGTTTAAACTAGCCTTTCTATTAATTTTCAAAGTTGCTCCTCCAATCTTTAGTTATTTTACTCTTGCATTTTTAAAATTTCGGGGTTGGCCAAAACCGGTTTGGCTCAGTGGTAGAGCGTCGGTCTGCGGACTGAAAGGTCCCAGGTTTGATTCCGGTCAAGGGCATGTACGTTGGTGCGGGCACATCCCCGGTAGGGGGTGTGCAAGAGGCAGCTGGTCAATGTTTTTCTCTCATCGACATTTCTAGCTCTCTATCTCTCTCCCTTCCTCTCTGTACAATATCAATAAAATATATTTACAAAAAATAAATAAAATTTTGGGTTTGGATTGGGTAGGGGACTTTCAGTAAGAATTAAAAGAACCTTATTGATCTACCCTCTTTAACAGCAGAGGGGCTATTGTCAAATCTCCTCCCACCTCAAATTAGGCACTGTTAGTTAGGGCCCTCTCTCCTGCTTTCCTTTGCCCTTCAAAAAGGCGATCTGATCCTCATGTGTATTTCCTTTTGTCTTAAACAATTTTGTCTTCATCCAGTGATGGGGGATTCATGCAATATTGTTATTTATGTGAGCTGGTGATGCTGCAGAGAGGGAAGAACCCAACTGAAATAATTGGAACCAATATAACAAAGCAATTCACATTGGTCTGAAACCTCAGAAAGACTATTAAAGATGCTGAGTGTCAAAGGAAACCCCAAGTCTACATGAGGAGGGAAGAAACCAGAAGACAAAGAACTAATCATAAAAGCAAGAACTACTGCCAAAACCAGTTTGGCTCAGTGGTAGAGCATCAGTCTGCAGACTGAAAGGTCCCAGGTTCTATTCCGGTCAAGGGCATGTACATTGGTTGCAGGCACATCTCCGGTAGGGGGTGTGCAAGAGGCAGCTGGTCAATGTTTCTCTCTCATTGACGTTTCTAGCTCTCTCTCTCTCTCTCTCTCTCTCTCTCTCTCTCTCTCTCTCTCCTTTCCTCTATGTAAAAAACCAATAAAAATATATTTAAAAAAATAGCAAGAACTACTATTTTTTGTCACATTTAGCCTATGTAACGCTGGGCATGATGCAACTACTATTTCCTCTCATCACAAAGTCTTTGCATTTTCTTTCCATTGGTTTAACGACCATGTCATGCACCTCTCATTGGGCAGGTTAAATAAGCCCTTGGGCTGGTCTTTTATTCCTTTGATCTTCTACTTAATGAATCCTAAGCTGTGGTGTTGATTGCTTTCTGTCTTGATTTCACCTTTATATCCAGATTCTGTTCCATGGTTCTTATTTTTTTTTTAATTTAAATTCTTTATAGTTTAAAGTATTACACAAGTCCCCTTTCCCCCACCCTCCCCCCATTGACCTCTCCCCAGCTGATTGGTAATTTTTCATGTGTACCGTTTGTCTTGCCAGTTAAATGCTAACTCTGTGAAGCAGAGCAATACTTTTTATTTATGAAATTACATTCCTGCTCTACAGCAGACTCTGCTGGAGAATATCAGAACTGCATTACAATAAGTACTGAATGTATGCTAAGTAACTTGGCATCTCTCTGTATTATTTCTTCAAACTGCATAAGAACATATGATTATCTCAAAATAAAATAATTTAAACTTTAGAAATACAGCGACAAGGTGCAAGGTCCTGACACAATAATTGCCTCTTGTCTGTTTACAAATCACAAATATTTTTTTTATTACATCAACGCAGATACTCATTCAATTAGAAGAAGCTTGGTTAACTTCTTCCCAAACAGGTGGCTTATGCTTTTTAAATTCTAGAGAACTGTTGTGTTGTTTCCTTCCTCTGGGATGTGAGGGAGATGGGACAAGGAGGGTAGAGGATGTACCTTGAAGACAGGGTGCAGTCCTGGGAGGCACCTCATGGTGGCCACAGCGATGACCTCACCCAGCAGATGAGTGCTCAGCAAGTGATACTGGAGCTCATGCAGTTGGGAATCTGAACTTCGGACCCACATCTTTACCAGGAGCCAGGCAAGGGGAGGATCTGAGGGCAGGAACAGTGGTGGGGTGGGGCAGCTGGGGCTGGGAGGCTGGATCTGAAACCAAGAGAAGCTAAGCATTCATTGGCTTCTTCCTATGTTAGAAGCTATGCTTATTATTCTGGGGGAAACACTGGTGACTGATTGTTGTCTCCCAGGGATTATAATATAGTCGGAGGAATGAAGGCCCTTCTACTCATCCTCTCAAGTGCTGTGGGGAAGTGTCAGTGCCATGATGCTCAGGTTCAAAGCAGGAGGAATTGGAAAGAGGTGTCTAGTATGACTGAGGGAAACTTGATGAAGGTGAGAGTTAGGATGGTAGAATCAGAAGGAGAAGGTGGACACGTGAGATAAATAACAGTTCCTATGAACTGATTGATGAGAACAGTAAGTGTGAAAACACATTACAACCAAGGGAGAAAATATGTCTAAGAAAGAAGGGATATTCCACAGAATCATAGGTCAAAAAAGATAATCTTATGGTGAGAACTATCAGCATTCTGACTCTCAAATAGGCAATTCTAGGTGAGTAGTGAGTAGGCTGTAAGGTAGAAAGGAGATATTGGATATAAGGATAGATGTCACTGAACAATGCAGGGGTGGGTGACAGAGCCTGCTGTCTTTGTCCGCTGGCAGAGGTTGGGGATGAACATAGAGCAGCGTTGGGCAGAGGCTTCTGAGGATACCTCACCTGGATGACCATGGGCAGCAGCTTCCCACTGGGTTCCATCTTCAGCATGACAAGGGGGACAGCCAGGTACTGCTTCTCTCCTTGGATCACATTGCCTAAAATTCCATCCAGCAGGATGAAGTCAGCCTCAAACAGGGAACCATTCTAAGGAAAGAGGAATGAATCCAGGGTTAGAGTTGAAAGCATACATCCACAGGTCCAAGGCAAAGGGGAAGAAATGTAAAGACATCCACTCTCTTGTCATTATCCCCTATTAGTACCTAAGTCCCAGTGGCAGAAGTGAAGGAAGTATCAGAGCATCAAGTTCAAGTTCTCTTATTTTAGAGGGAGGGCTAAGACCCCATGGAAGGAAGCTTCCCTAGAGACATGCAGCTTGTCTGTGTCAGAGGCAGTTTTAGGGTTAAGTATGCCCATTGCTTCTGTCCCACAGGTATGCCCCGCTCTCCCCTGGTCAGGCTGCCCAAGCTCCTTTCTCCACCATCTCCTAATGGTCAGCTTTATTGGCAGAATCCAGCTTTGATGCTTTCCCTACATTTTCATCTATAGGTTTTCCCAGCAGAGGACTCTATACCCAGGGACAGTGGGTTACCACAGCCTCTCTTTCCAGACTCAACTTTGGTTCCTTCCCTTCACCACCTCACAGACAGGGAGAAGACAATCGGGGGCTGGAGGCTGTACCTGGAGTTCTTTCTCCAGCTGGGCCTGAAGCTCCTCCATCTCCTGAGGGTAGCACCAGCCGGGAGGGCAGAGAGGTGGAGCGTCTCAGCAGCATGGGGTTGGCGCCATTGAGGAACTGGTAGCCAAAAAGCTCATCATGCTGCCAGCGCTGGTGAACCTTCTCTGTGGGGTCAGACGGAAGATAGTCACCATAACCTGATGTTCCTCTCCTTCAGACTCTCCTTAATCTAGGATTTAGTCACATGACTCCTCCATACTCAGCCCACATGTTTTCATTCATGAGGCCTTTGTGAGATCCCCAGCCTTCAAATTATTTTTTGATAAGAAGTTTGGAGACTATGCAATGTGACACATACCTCATTAATAGGGTCATCAAGGGGTTATGGGGACTTGGACAAAAAACTGACCAGCCATGGCAGTCTTTTGTCCCCAGAAAATCTAATCAATATCTTCCAGACATTTCCAGGGGCTTGGCACAGTGTAAACATATTTGAGGACCATCTCCAAATCCTAGAGCAGACATCAAGGATGAAACCATCAATTTACCAAATCACACCTGTTTCTGGTTCCACCAGCCCCACTCCACTCTGACCATTTCCTTACCCTATAATCACTGTCCATTCATAGTTCATCCTCTTGTGCTCATGGAATCTCATATTTGAAGGCAGATCATCTATAGTGTCTGCAGCAATTGTCATGGGTAACCCTTCCTTCCAGGTGGCCCAGCTAGGATATGGGGACAAAGGTTAATGGAGGGGGTAGAAGTCATTGATGGAGGAAGTTGTCAGGGAAGGCTTGTAATAGGGTGGTCACCAGTAGATTTTCTGTCTTTCCTCCAGATCTTTTTCTCGATGCTTCTGGAACACATCCAAGCTATTATTTCCTGGCAGGCGGGCTGTGGAGACATCAAAGCAATTCTCTTCAAATGCTTTCTCATGCTATCCCCTGGCTTCACCCAATATCCTGTTTTTATTTTATTTTAAATTGTTGATAGTATTATAGATGTCCTCCAATTATTCTGTTCTTTCTCTCCTCTTCCCAGCCCCTGCCTGACTTGAGGTCTTCACCACACTATTGGCTGTATCCATTGGTTATGCATGTATGTGTATATGCTCTTTGGTTTAGCTCTTTCCATTTCACCCCCAACCCACCTCTGAGTATGTCAGTCTGTGCCATGCCTCCATGCATCTGGACCTTTTTTGTTCATCAGTTTATTCTGTTCATGAGATTCCACTTATAAGTGAGATCATGTGATACCTGTCTTTTTCTGACTGGTTTATTTCACACAGCATATTATTCTCCCATTATTACCCTTTGCAACAGCATGTCTATCCATGTTGTTAAAAAGGGTAAGGAAGCCTTCTTGTTTACAGTTGCATACTGTTCCATTGTGTAAGTGTACCATAGCTTTTTTATCTACTCATCTAATTATAGGTACCTGAGCTGTTTCCAGATCTTAGGCATTGTAAATAATGCTGCAATGAACATAGGTGTGCATACATTTTTTTTTTCCTGATTGGTGTTTAGGGCTTTTTAGGAAATATTCCTTGAAGTGGAATTGCACTCTCATATTTCTTTTTTTAAAAAAAATATATTTTATTGATTTTGTACAGAGAGGAAGGGAGAGAGATAGAGAGTTAGAAACATCAATGAGAGTCATCGATCAGCTGCCTCTTGCACACCCCCTACTGGGAATATGCCCGCAACCAAGGTACATGCCCTTGACCGGAATTGAACCCAGGTCCCTCAGTCCCCAAGCTGACGCTCTATCCATTGAGCGAAACCGGTTTCGGCACACTCTCCTATTTCTTAACCATATGGCAACATACTCCTTTGCCTTTGTCTCTGGCTCTGTCTCCCCTGCTTAATTCCCTAGTCATTCATCTTCACCCTCTCTGTCTTCTTGATTTCACCAATCTCCAATCTCATAGTTGTCCCAAGAGGAGAATCCAATTTTTTAATACCTTATTGTAACCATTAACTCAAAATTTTCTATCACTGTTCTTCATTACAATAGCTATAAACTTAATTCTTCCCCCCCACTTTTTATTATTAAATTATTATCTATGTACATATTTTAATATTGCCCCCCCCCCCATACATACCTTCCCTCCCCAGAGTTCTGTGTCCATTGGTTATACTTATATGCATGTATGCAAGTCCTTCGGTTGATCTCTTATCTCCTCCAGATTTCCCTACCCTCCCCCTTATAAACTTCATTCTTAATCAGCTGAAATGTCCACACCTATCCTACACCATCCCATATTCCTTTGTTAATTTCCCCTGTCCTGGCCCTTCTCTGTCCACACCTTAAGCTGTTCTCCAAAATGACATATTTCAAGTTAGGTACACTTACATCCTCTGACCTCAATGCCTGTTCCCTGGGACAAGGTATTCTATGTGCCAAATCAAATAGTGGATCCACATTGCTACTTTATCTGGCTTCATCCCATCTATCCTCGTCTTCACATAGTTTATAGTTGATCACCTGGCTTAATCCTGCTCATGGGTACCTATATTTACTTGTGCCTCAAAGACATTTTAGTTCAGGCTTCCATTCTTACTTGTCATTTCCCTCAATTGTCTCTCATACTTATTTCCCAAGATGACAGATTCTGTTTGCTGTCCTCATTCATCCTCAGCCAGTCAGTGTGCTCCCTGTCCTCACAGTTGTTTTTCATGTTTTCTCTCCCAAATCAGCTCTTCATGTCATATTATTTGCTGCTTCTGTTACATGCCTCCTCTCAGAGGTCCCATGTGCTACCTTACCTGTCCCTGCCCTAAATTGTTCCCAGTCACAGGGAGATCTCCTTCCCCTTTCACTTTGGCTCTTCTGCTTCCCAGCACCGCTGCTCCTCCCATTCTCTCTGCTCAGCTTTTGGGGAGGTGGGATCCACACATCCATTACTTCCTTGTCCAGTCCCACTTCCAGTTTTTTCATTCTGTGTATAACATTCCCCTTGTTTCCTGTCTTGTCCACCTTTAACCTGCTGAGCACGCACTATTTCAACCCCTATGGCCTTCCTCAATGATATCCCCTACTTTCCCCAACCTCCACTACTCCCTGGGTCCCCCACCCACTTCCCAGAGGCGCGCCCTCACCGGTGCCCTCGGGCAGGGTCAGCAGGCCCTCGCCCTGCACCCAGCGGTAGCAGGGGAAGGCGGCCTCCTCCCAGGCTCCCGGGCCCTGCATGGTGATGCGGTCCCAGAACCAGGCGCAACTTCACGAACTGCAGTGGCCCCAGGTCCTGGGGAACGTCCTGCTCAAACTCCTCCACCTGTGGGGACCAGAACCCGGAGAGACTTAGTAGCGGGGACCCTGGAGAGGACGCTTAACTGAGGGTGCGGGGTCCTCTGTGGAGTCAGGGACAGCATTGCCTCCTCCCAACACCTGCGTGGTGGGTCTCAGACGCCCATTTCACCGGGAAGACCTGGAAGGCGGGGCGAGGCCCTGGGTATTTTGAATGGAACGCGGAGCATCATCACCTACACCTGCCCCTTTTCTGAACTCCCGCAGCCTTTGCTCCCCCCTGGGACCTTTTCTTTGGCCACGGACCCCACAGTGACACTGGCCTCCGGTAAACTGGGAAAGTGGTGAAGGATGCCTGGATCGCTGGCGGGGGGACCTCAGCGCTCAGGTGCAGGTGGCCCTTCTCATTGGAAGTTGTGCTGTAACTGGCTCTCGGCTTCCAGGCCCCACCCTCCCGCCCGCCCTCTCGCTGCAGAGCCCAGGTGAGGTCTGCGTCCCCGCCCACCTGGCCCCGCGCTGGCCGCAGCTGCAGCTCCAGCTCCGCCTCCCCGCGCTCCCCCACCAACCACAGCTGCACGCGGTTGAATGACCCAGAGAAGGGCCAGGCCCCGGTGGCCACGCGGATGCGGTAGAGGCCCATGGCAGCAGGTGGGCTCTCCTGGGTGGCAGAGGTCCCGTTACTGGGACCAAAGATTCCGCGGCCAGGCTTTCTCCTGCTGCCTCAGGACAAGTCCAGGGCTTAATAAAGCAGGACTCAGTGTGCCAGCCCACTGCAGGACTGGGCCCCACTCCAGACAAACCTGAACCTGGATTAGCCCAGAGGGCGGGGAAAAGCAGCTGCTCCTCTCAGCAAAGTGCTGAGAAGTGAGGCCAGGGGGAAGATGAGGGGTTGAGCCTGGGTGGGGCAAGAGATGGAGATGGGGAGGGAGATTCCACCAAAATTTTCTTTCTAGGCCCCCATTCTCCCTGATATACACTCGGCGACATTTTTACTGTTGAATAGCGTTTTCTGAAGGTGCCTGGGTTCCAATTACTTTTCTTGCTGGCAGTGCCTGACGTCCTTTGGTGATTGTACACACTTTCTCTTCACCTACTTGCTAAAGGAGCAGTGGGATTGTCATTGTGGGCCATAGAAGGCCCTGCTTCTTCTTTTAAAAAAATTTATTTTAAAAATGTGTTTTACTTATTTATTTATTCATTTGTTTATTTTTATTAATCTTCACCTGAGAATATTTTTCCATTGATTTTTAGGGAGGGAAGAAGGGAGGAGGGGAGACACACAGAGAAACATCTATGTGAGAGAAGCACATGGGTTGGTTGCCTCCCACTTCACCTTCTCCCCCTTGACTGGGGCCTGCATAGAGCCTGCAACCCAGGGACGTGCCCTTGACGGGAATTGAAACTGGGACCCTTCAGTTGGGGTCCTGAAGGTCCTAACGTTCTATCCACTAAGCCAAACTGGCTAGGGCTAAATATGTTTTTAAAATTGATTTCAGAGAGCCGAAACCGGTTTGGCTCAATGGATAGAGTGTCGGCTTGGGGACTGAAGAGACTCGGGTTCGATTCCGGTCAAGGGCATGTGCCTTGGTTGCGGGCATATCCCCAGTAGGGGGTGTGCAAGAGGCAGCTGATCGATGACTCTCTCTCATCTATGTTTCTAACTCTCTATCTCTCTCTTTTCCTCTCTGTACAAAATCAATAAACTATATTTAAAAAAATTAATTTCAGAGAGAGAAAGAGATAGAAACATCAATGATGAGAGAATCATCCATCAGTTGTCTTCTGCACACCCCGTACTGGGGATTGAGCCTGCAGCTCAGGCATGTGCCCTGATGGGAATTGAAAGGTGATCTCCTGGTTCACTGGTCCATGCTCAACCACTGAGCACACAGACTGGGCTGCAGGACCTTCTTGATAAAGGATGAAGGACCTCCAGAATTCAGGATAAGTTAGAGTGTTTCCTGTAATAAGACTTTTGGTGTCTATGCACCTAGAATAGGTAATGCATCCCTCTTCTTCCTTTTGTTTTCTATGCACATCCCATCCCAAGTCAGACAACCAATGTCAATATCTACTGTTTCTGCTTGCCCACTCCTTTCTGTTAATAGGATTGCTTTATATGGTTTGGGTAATTTATTCCACAAAAATGAGTCACACTCTACATTTTATTTTCGATAGTTAATAATACATGGCCCTGGCTGGTATGGCTCAGTTGGTTGGAGAATCATCCATTATATAGAAAGGTTTTGGGTTTGAGTCCCGGTCAGTGCACATACCCAGGTTACAAGCTTGATCCCTGGCTGGGATGAGTACAGAAGGCAACCCATTGATCTCTCTCTCTCTCTCTCTCTCTCTCTCTCTCTCTCTCTCTCTCTAAAAAAAATACATGAAGATAATATCTTCAGATCCATAGATGGAGATTTAACTATTCTCTTCGATAGCTTAAAGGATTACTGCCTTGATAGGCATTCAGTATTAACTATGATGAGTGTTTCAACGAATACCTTCATATGTACACCCTTATATATGTAGTGTAGATTCCCATAAATAAGATTTCAGACTAAAATGTATACATATTTTTTATATTAGGTTGTTTTTTTTTGTGAAAACTAACTTTTAAAAAAATCTGTCTTTATTGGGTTTTAGAGAGAGAGAAACATTGATCTACCTGCCATAGGCACCATGACCAAGGATCAAACTTGCAACCTGGCTATGTGCCCTGATTGGGAATCGAATCAGTGAACTTTCAATACATAGGACCATGATCAACCAACTGAACTATACCAGCTAGGGTGTGAAAACCACCTCTGAGGTATGCTTGACATGAAAAATCTGTACATATCTGATGTCTATGATTCAATGAGTTTGCCAATAAGTATATACATATGTACATTATTGTCACCTTGTTTCCCCAAAAGGCTGTAGCATGGTACCAGAGGGCCCCTTTCTCTGCATCTCCACCAGCATAGGAAGTTACCACTTCTGAATTTTTGCCAATAGGGTGTGTGTAATTTTCAAGAACAGTGAAGGGTCTGTGATCTTACCCAACTTAAAAACTAGTTAGATTTGCTATTTGAAGGATGATGGTAGAAGACACAAAACTTCTAGTTTAGTAAAAAAAAGGGAGCATTATTACATGGAACAAAAGCCATAGCCACAGCTCCTCACATTCATATCCGTGCCTCATGTCCAACCAAATCCCATGAATATAACGCAGGTGCGCCTAGGTGAGTGGTAGCACACACAGGGCTGCATTATAGGAGAGGACCACTGAGTCTGGGGAACTCACCACTCTTAGGGTAAGCAGGCCATGTCCATTCTCTGTCTAAGGAACATGACCTCATTGCTCATGATTACTCACTGCAGAAGGCAGTCAGGGCTTTGCATTTCTGACATTCCCAACAGGAAGACCAAGCTGCATGCAAGGCCCATGACCAATCCCACTAGAATGATGGGGTCAACTGCTTAACTCCTTCTAAGAGCTTCCTAATGAATAAAAAATAAAACCCATGTTTCTCACCAAGGTGTGGTTTCCACAGTCAAACGTGCTGTCCGTGTAATGATAAGGCAATATGTGGAAAAGGGAGGTATAGAAATGTAGCCCATAGAAAGTTCTATACACATTCAGAAGGTAAACCCTGTGCTTTGATAGAGCATGGCCTACACATTTTTATGGATCTAATACTATAGCAGCAAGCCTATTATCCCAGGCTCTCTGCCTCGGTGGGTCTGCACTCTGCATGAGTACAGTGGACCACTGAACACCTAACATGCCTCCAGCAGAAAAGGTTCTCGACATGAAACCACAGCCACCTCACTCCCTCAGAGACCAATGCCTGATCTTCAGTCTATCACATAAATGACATACTTGCAGGTGCAGCAATAGACTGACACTCAAACAAATTTCAATTCCACATTCTTGCCAACTTCTAATCCAGACATATTTATGCACTATTTCACTTCTTAGGTATAGTAAGGCTTAGAAATGACACAGGAATGATGGAGTTAGAATACCAATAGTTTGCAAAACCTAATAATACATCTAACAGTGGTTATCTATAGTGGCTAAATTCACAGGAAGATACATTGGCAATAATTATATACCCATGGCAGAAATAGTAAGCACCAACTATGAAGGCTTCTTGAAACATAACATAGCGATTCTCATAGAATCTATGGATATAACCATTAACATGTAGGAAGTATAGAGGATAAAGGAAGATGTTAAACCACCAGGAAATAATTAGAAAAAAAATCTGTTTGAGGAGGCAGACAACCTTGTTTCATCACCATAAACATGGCAAGACATGAAAAGAGAGAGATGAAATGCGAGTGATTCCAGAAACAATTGTAGCACATGAGCCATAAAGAACATTGATTGTGGGGTTGGGAGTTGGCAGGGGACTGTTGCTTTTCACTACAATATTTTGTGTCAGTAGAATGTTTGAACACGGTGTTGTGATTGATAAAATCACAGCAAGATTCCTACAATTAAAAACAATGAATGAATGTCAGGGAAGATGTGTATAAGTAGGTCATTTGATATTTTAGAGAAAAGAGGGGCCAGAATGAAGCAAGAAGTGTGAGAGGTCAAGAAGTGAATTCTCTTTGGGGTGGAATAGGTTTGAGGATATTTGGATGGCAAATAACTAGTAGAGAGAGAACATTTAAGATGCAGGTCATGTGGTCCCTAGCTGAAGAAGGGACCACATGATGGCGTGGGAGGATGAATTTAAAGCATATATGGAAGAACCAGTGTTGGATGGACAGGGAGACTCTTCCTTTCTAACAGAAGGCAGCATAGAAAATTCTGTGTAAGGATATTGAGGAGGTTCCCATCTCATAGTTTCCATGTTCACTCCTCTTCCTAACCCTGGTGCTAGATGTACTCTACTTCTCAAGGACCCAGGTGTCACAGTCCCAGAGCTGGGCCAGAATGGCAGCACCGACCTTCTCAGTGCTCCGACAGGCAAGGTTAAATTCCAAATGAGGATGGAGCCCACCTAGGCTGCAGAGGGGGCAGAGACTACCTGACTTGAGGGGAGGTGTCTCTGCTTACAGTTCCAAGATCCATTTACATTTATTTTCACCAGCTCTTTTTTTAATTGAATTTATTGGTTTACATTGGTCAATCAAATTATATAAGTTTCAAGTGTACAATTCTGTAATACTAGTACATCATCTGCACATTGCAGTGTGCACTCAAAATCCAAATCTAGTCTCCTGTCATCATTTATCCCTGTTTACCCTCCAACATCTGCCCCCACTCCCCTTTCCCTCTGGTAATCACCATAGTGCTGACCGTGTTCATGAGGCTTTTTTCCTTACTCCTTTCACCAGTTCATTAGCGCTTATTCTGATATCTTCCCCTCATTATTTTCTCAACTTAACTCATTACTTGCCTACCGGTGCTGGTCTCTGCTCTGCCCTGATGACCCAAACTTAAAAGCTATTTCTTCTGGCCCTAACTGGTTTGGTTCTGTGGATAGAGTGTTGGCCTGCGGATTAAAAGGTTCTGGGTTTGGTTCCAGTCAAAGGCATGTATCTTGGTTGCAGGCACATCCCCAGTGGGAGGTGTGCTGGAGGCAGCTGATCAATGTTTCTCTCTCTTTGATGTTTCTAGCTCTCTATCCCTCTCCCTTCCTCTCTGTAAAAAAA